GGGAAGCAAGTCATATAGCAAACATACATGGAATGAACAAGGACTTTCTGGGCAAGAATGGGCTAGGGAGGTTTTGGTCATCCACCCAAGGTGATTGATGCCTATTTAGAATATCAATCACTGCTGTTCATCCCTAGGGTAAGTATGGGGGTATAGTCATGTCTCTTTGTCCTGAGGCCTGATCTTCAATGAATGCACCTCCAACCACAGTTGCAATATGTTCTCATCTTCTGCACTGACTCTCTCAAGGCCCCAGCCCTAACTGCCTATAAGATTTCTAAGTAACTACCTATAACATCCTCCCCTCTGAAGAGGTATCTCAAACTGTGGTTAAGGGAGAATGGGAGTCGTTTCTATCTAGTTGCTTTGAGCTGAAAAGGGCTGGTGTAGGGGTGACTGCAGTCAGAGGCCTTCTCAGAGAGCTAATCTGAGGGACCTTGGGTAGAAGTCATGTTGCAGTTTAGTAGTTATGATCTCCCTTCACAAGGTCTATCTAGTGGATCCTGGTAAAATCAGTCTGGCACACTTGTCTTTGGAATTTGGCAGGTTCTAGGCAAAATGAACAACTTTTCCAAGAAATTAAAGCATGTATAACCAAAGCATGAGCACCAGACTGGGAAGGCAGATTTGGAAAACAGCCACATCAGAAACTGTTCTTAAAGAGACTGAAATAGCAATTGTAACCCACTGGCTCTTAGAACCCCTCTACTGATGGAAGTTATCTATAAGTATAACATTTTTGTCATAAGTCCTAGTTTTAGCTGTAAGAAGATGGAAAGCTTGGTGATTTCAAAGGATAACTAGCTAAAGAATTTAAAGACTCTTGGTCAGTTTTTATAGTTTCCATCGTAGCTTTTTACCCTCACTGAACCATAACAGTGCTCAGCTACAAGTACAGCTGGAAACTGCCAGAAAGGGTCAGTAATTGGAGCCCCTTTTCATAATTAGCTTTTAATACTGTGGTATTGTTTTTATACAGCTTTTGGTTATACTTTTCTTCTGGGTGTTTAAAACCAAGTTAAAATGAGGCCTGTGTTAACAAACATTAACATCTTGCTGTCTATCAAGGCCAGTTAAGTCTCCATGAACATTACTTTTGGGAGCATGTACAGAGACTCTCAACTCGTCTGTCAGTGTCAGCTGTCAGGATGGGTAACAATCTTGCTTGGCTATTTTGTTTTCTGTGAAAGCATGGGAGAATCTTCCCTCTTTGGTGATGCTCCTTTGGCACACTGTATATTTGTTGATTCTTGTCCTCTGTGGTCCAGTAAGCTCCCTTATCAGGAGGTTGGGTGACTCACTAAAATTGTAGGATTCTGTAGAAAAGGTTCCCTCATACCCTGGGCCATTGTTGACCTTGGAGGACTAGGGCTGAAATATCAACTGTCCTTTTAGCCCAGTTACCTTTCTAGTTCTGCTCTCTAAACTTCAGTTGTTGAATAACTAGAAGAAAAGATCAGTTCATCAGTACTGCAGTGGAAGCAATGAACTTAACTATTATAATCTCATTTGAATATCAAGCACTTTGAAGTATAAAGTATAGCCAGGATTGTTATTTCTTACCAGTTGTGGTTGTTTTGGTAGTTGAGTCCCTGTAGAATGTTAACAGATGACAATTACAAAAATTTTACAGAAAAACTTGACATCAAGAGCCATACACAATCTGTAAGAATAACAATCATGATATTATCTTTGAAACACATTTAAATGTCTATTTTAATGTAGAATGGCCTTTTTAATCAGTAATGTCTACTACACAAAGAAGCTCTCACTGAATTTGTTAACCTTTAATGGAATGTCATTGAAGAAGTATATAACATTGTCTGGACTGTTCAGTGCCTGAGCATCTCTAAATGTAGTGACACATAATAACATACACATAGAACAAGCTTTTTTAAAAAGAAAACTATCATTTGACTGGTGATTTCATGCTGGTTTGACATATACCTATTATCACAAGTAGCTGGAGCATAAGAAAAAGGCAGATATCTGAATCTAAAGAAAGGTTATTCCCCATAAACAATCTGAGTTTTACATTTCAGCAGACTTGTACACTGAAAAGCATGAATACTTTTAGTACATCATGAGATTAGCAATGATGAATGTTATAGCTATATGGAAACCATTGTCTCTTAACATAATTTTGTACCAAGAGCACCTTTTAACAAGAAAACCTAATTGTTTTATTCATAGAAAGCTTAACTTTTTGATGATAGCCATTGTAAACATATTACAAAAATATGTCCAGCAGCATTAATTGGGGTATGTGTCCCATAAAATTATGAAAATTGTTGAGGTTCCATTAGTAAACAGAGACTGGAATAAAATATTTCCAGGCAGTTGCTCCTTTATTCACTAAAGAAAGTCCTGTGCAATAGTTTCCTTAAGCATAAGGGATCGCTACTTAATTAACCTAACAAATTTTAGATGACCTATGAGAACAAGATCATGACAATTAATACTTTATCCTTGACCAATGAAAGACTTCCAAGTTACTGTACACAGACAACAATATGCCTTGCATTTGTAAAACCAGTTTTGGCATTATTTTGATCACCTGGAACCTGTGTGGAAGCGTGTCCTTAACTCTAATGACATTTATCTATAAGCTAACTTAAGTTATAGGTGAATATTTTAAGAAGCCAAAATGAATAGAAAATTATTGATCTCAAACAAAACAGCTATAAGTATTGTAACCAATCACAAATTGAACAGACAGGCACACATAAGAAAATTGTGCATTCAGATGTATTTGGCCAAATTTAATTATAATACCTCTTTTCCAGTTTTTAAGTTTGTAATTATAAAAAGACTTCTCCAAACATTTTTAGGTCAATTAATAGAGATCTCTTGTATTATGAATCAGAAGTGTAAAAGCTTTTACACTTGTGAAAGCAAAGACAGTTTTCAAAACAGGCTCTGTGCTAACAGTTTATCTGATTGGAATATCCAGCTATATAGTTTTCTCATTGTTGTTTTGATAGCCATAGTTGTTGGATAGTCACAGATAATAGCCAAAACTGCTGTTTTGATAGCCACATGTAATCGTTCCTCTATAGGGGCTCACTGTTAAAGGTAATTTTAACTATGTCTAGTTAAAAATGGGCCAGGTTTAGCTGTAGAAAGAGACCAGGTGGCACTCTTTGGGCTAAGAATGTATTCCAAACAGTAGAGGATGACAGCCCACCAAGGCTTTAATATGCTGTGCTATAGATGTCTACCTATGACAGATTTTCCCATTTTGTCTGTGACCCTTAGACCATACTTAGCCATAGGCCTTCCCGTGTAGAGCCTCAATTAGCATATCTCTGAGAATAATGGCTGGTCTGGCAAGATGTTCTGGTGAGAAATCATGATGAGAAAAGCCATCTTCAGGAGACTGGAGCTGTGCTTATTATTTAATAACTGTTCTCATTTAAAACTGTTATTAACCTCATAAGGTTCCTTAGGAATGTTTTGTTCTATCAATGAACTTAACTATGTTGTAAAAATCATTCAGTCTGCCCTGTGCTATAAAAATCAGTCACCATCATTCTTGAGAGGGGAGAGAAGAGGAGCTAGTCCCTAGTTCTACCTGAGGACTGAAAAGCAGATTAACTTAGACTAAAACTTTTACATTTGTTCTCTGAGAGTTTCAGGATTAAATACAGACCAGCTTTGTGAAAAATATGATCTAGAGATACTTGAAGATCGGCTTCAATCTGGAAGGGTTCCAGGGAGGGAAAACTCACCATTCTGGAAACTTGATTCTAAAATCCAGCAGCCACAGAGGAAAGAACTGTCTTGGACCAAACACTTTTGCAAACTGTGCTATTTCTCAGGAGCAGGGCAATGGAGAAGGAACAGAAGAGTGACTTCAAGTATGGCACAAGAACTAAATCCTAACCATGTCAGGTATAGAAATACAATTAAGATCAAGATCTTTCACAGGGTAGATCTCTAAACCTTACTGAAACACCCCTCCAGAAACAAAAGTTATAATTAGTTCCAACTACACTGCCAACCAGAAAATTAAACCAATAATCAAAGAACCTGAGTGGCGCTGCTTTTTAAAAGACAATGAGAGAAAAGTGCAAGTACTATACTCCAATGTTACTGTTTAGAGCTTACTTTCTAATAAATGGCTCTAAATCAAAAAGTTCTAAAATCCCCTTCAAAAGAGATATATCACATCCAGAGACAGATAGAAACAGAAGAAATTTCAACCCTCAGACAAAGAGGTCTTCAGGACATTTTGGGTTCCCCATTTAGTCACGTAGGTAACTGCCCTCCATAGCAACAGTGACTAGGATCTTTTTAAACCCACTCTGAATCTGTGTATCCCCAGGTATCTGTAATACACATAAGCAGTTCACAGATTAAAGTCTATACCCATTGTTTCTCATTAGAAGTCAATGTTCAATTTAAGCATAACATTACATCTTTCCAGTCTACTTCCTAAGTCTGAATAAGTCCTCTAAAGATCTCAGTGTACCTATCAGGATCATCTGAAAACTATCCTAGATCTTGCTTGATCTGCTTTAGGTCACTCAGAGAAAAGGACATATGAACTCAAGTGGTTCCAAACTCCCTATTTACTTCCTCTAAGATATGTTGTCCTTGAGTAGCTTGAAGAAAATCAGCTAAGGATAGGTACAGCACCATGAAGGCTTTAATTATGACTGGCCTAGAAGCTCCAACGTCAGGATTCAAAAGGCAAGTAGGGGAAGCCTCAGACAGTCATAGTGGGCAAGGCTTTGACCAAAGCCAAAGTTGCCTTGGAAACCTCATCTTTGGGGTCAGATATAGTGGATGCCTTAAGAACCAAAGGGGTCTGGTTGTCCTGTTGCTTAGATTTACATTTGAATACAAGTGAGGATTATTTCTTAAAGCAAAGAAAACCTGAACATGAGGCATTTCTGACCATTTTCCTCTTTCTTTGTAGTATGATTCTAGTTGTGAAATAGCATCATAATCAGTACTTCCCTCTGCATTCCATTTTGGCTCCTGGGAGTAGGCAGGCCATGTGTGGCTGCATAAAAATACTAAACAGATATTTTTTTCAATATGTGAGTGTTAAATATTTTCCAGTACTTGAAAATACATTCCAAAAGAATAAGAGATTTTGATATCAAGTATCCCATCTGAAGAAAGAGAAAGAAATTGATGCCCTCTTAAATTTCTACTTGATTTCTACATCCTCAAGGCATCCCCAAGGTAACTACTCCAGGTGACTACCTTCTGGAAAAAGACCAGAAGATAGGCCTTATAGAGCTAACCATCTTTTACCAGCTCACAACCCTATCTTCCCCAGACACTCATACTCCTAACTGTAGCAGATGTTTCTAAAAGTACAAGCTACAATTGATCCCAGCTATAACAGTTTAACAAAGGGCACATTGCGAGCATACCAATTATCAAGAACTCTAAACCACTGCTTTCCAGTTCTTTGGAAGACAGTGAGGGCAAACATCAAAGAGTGATTTGAAAGTAGTTGGACTGCTTCTCAGCCTACAAGGGAGATCACCTCTAGAAATAGATAGAATCAGGTAAAAGTGTGGCTCAGAGAAATCTTGCCCTTTGCCCTAGGGTGGACAAGCCTCTAAGACATTCCTATTATCTACCTACTAGCCTGTTTTTATCAGCAAGACATGGCTAAACTTCTTTAAATCCATTCTAAAATTTCTATGTCTCTGAAGCACCTATCACCTAGTAATCACAATTCACATGTTAGTAAAGGCACATTAATCAGTTTTCTACGCACCCATGAAAGAAGAGCAAGGCTGACTAAAATCTCTTTCTTACTCTTAGCATATGCAAGGCACAAATGGATATCACTTCCCTGATAGATGTTTTCCTCCATGAAAGGCAAGCAGTCGTCGCAAGCTGCCTCAGCCTGATTTCTTGGGAGGGGCAGTCTAACAAGATAGTTCTAAAGTTAAACCTCAGTGAGTTGGAGACAAACTTAGGGATAGTTTCTAACTTACTAGTACAATGAAAAGTATGATAGATAAATGGAGATTTTTCTGCTGGTTACCTAGTCAGGCTGTTAGGACCCAGTTTCCACTGAGGAAACTTTGGGTATCTGCCCGAGAGTAGCCCCGGCCATGACCCTTCTGTTCTCCTCTCAGCTTCCACTAGCTCCAAGCAACCAGAAATTTGACTCCATCAAGTGCTTGTTTGAGTTCTATAAGGGATAAGTAAAAGCCTACCCTGTCTAAATTTCCACTGAAAAATCACTATATAGCATTTTACAAGTTTACAGAAAAGTTTCAAAGTCCATAACTTAATCAAAAAAGGTACTTTCCTCCCCTACACACATGAATGATAAGAAGATACTTAGGAGAGAGAGAGAGAGAGAGAGAGAGCCAGGAAGTTGGAGATCCTCCCTTAAACTAAATGTGTTTTGGTCCCTTAAATATTGTGTTTAGGAAACAGCTCCTTCTAATCTCACTCAGAAACTGGCTCTTTCCATGGGGTCTCCCTCTCCCAAGGGAGACTGTTGCTGAGATCTAAACACTTATGCAAGGACACCCTTTCATGTGTATTCTCCCAGACAGGCAAAATCTGATGTCTTATCTGCCTCAGAGATGGGATACTTGTTCCTCATTTCAGATGACTTCACTGTCTTCAGGGTTAGCAAGCACTCATTTTCTATGGGCTCAACTATAAGGTTCTTAGTTGTTAGACAGGAGGGAAAGGTTTCTCTCCAACATTGCATGCCTCCAGTAAAGAAAAGTATAGAGTGGCTGGGAAAGATCATAAATGAAACTAGAAAAAGAGATCTTCTCATGCTCATGGTGAATTACTGAGACAATTTACCTGTGTGTTATCATTCTCAGCTGGAAAGACAATGAGGAACCTCAACAGCTAAGATTGCTTCCTCACCAGCGAAGACCAGACCAAAAAAGGAAACTGAGGTACAACAGGCTCAACATTTCCCATAGAGTACAGAGACATGATCAGGACCAGTTCGTCTTAATCAAACTTATCCCCCAAGCTTTAAGAACAGCCACTGGCCTATTATTGTCTTCTAACTGGGAGAAGGGGTCCCATGAAATTAATAGACTTGTAGAAAATATGAGCTAGATTTCATAAAAAGACCCATTTTATGGCATTTTATATCAAAGTCCACTAGGGGATGCTCTCACATTACTCTTCCTAGCACTGTTGTCTAACAAGCCAAACAAGGAACACCAGTAAATTCAACAACTAATCCAAATGAAACATATAAATTTACCACCATTAACAAAAGACAATGCAAGGAAGACACAAGGCCTAAGCAACTGACAAAGACAAAGCATAAAATTCAAGACATAGGCAACTGACAAAGACATACTATTATTTATTTACATTTTTTTGTTGAGCTGGGGATACCCAGGACCTTGTGCATGTAAGGCAAGAGCTCTACCACTGAGCCACATCCCCAGCTCAAAGAATAAAAAATTTAAAGCATACATAATTGACAAACAAGGATGACAATTTTTGATTATCTAAGTGATTCACAATCCAGAATCCATGAAACAAGAGCAAGTTCTTACTTCTGTCCAGTTATCTCAGTGAAACCTCCAAATGATATAGAGAGTATGATATAAGGATAAAATAGGATCTACAAATAATCCAAATAATATAACGGAAATATAATTCTCACCCCACTAGATGTCTGATATACAAGTTTGTGTTCTCTAAAATCAAAGAATGAATTCTAGGAACAACAGGGGTTAACAGTACAAGTATTTATTGAAAGAAAGAAAGCTTCTGTCTAAGAGGGACAGAAATGGGTCCAACATGGGTGGCCCAGGGAATCTGCTTCTCAAGGGAGTTTTATAGAATAAAACCACAAGGTGAGGTGGGTATAAGGTGGGACAAAACTATAGTTAATGAATAAGATTACAAGTAAAATTGCTTAGGGAATATTGATTAAAGGAGGATCAAATGGGAAAGTAAGTCATGTAGCAGACATACAGGGACTGAATAAGGACTTTCTGGTCAAGAAAATAAAATATAAGTATTAACTGTTCCTTTCAATAAACTGATACACATCAGAAATACCCTTATCCCAGATATTCTTCTGTACAGATATACATTTTTTCTTTCTTTTTTTCATTTTAAAGAAACAAAGACATTTTGTGGGGTTTCTTTGGTGTTTTGTTTTGTTTTGTTTTGTTTTGTTTTGTTTTGTTTTGTTTTTCCCCAGTACTGCGAATCGAACTCACAACCTTGCACTTGCCAGGCAGGCGCTGTGCTGCTGAGCTAAATCCCCAGCCCCTGTTTTGTTTCATTTTAAACAAAACGAAGACATAAATAAACAAACCAACATAAAAACAAAAATGATACCGAATTTCAAAACAAGGTGACAGGAAATTAACAATGGTTGTTAAATTACATATTGTTATCTTCAGAGTGGTTACTCAGACAACTGGATACAAGCATAGAAGATTGATCAAACAATTACACATTAACTGTTCCTTTCAATAAACCAATAGAAATTAGTAGTACAATTATCTTAGCTATCTTGTGTATGTATACATACATATTTTTTCCTTTTCTTTTTTCTTTTTTTTCTCTTTTCCCTCATTCCAGTTATTCTTTTCTGTTTGAACAGCTTCTTTCCCTTTCACAGTATCTATTGTACCTTTCAGATGTTATTTATTCTTTCAGGTTCTTACACTAGGAAACAATACAGTTTTTACACATGTGAGCCTGATTTATTTCACTTATGAATATGGTCTCTAGTTGCATCCATTAATCTGTGAAAGCCTTGAGTTTATCTTTCCTTACAGCTGAGTAATACTCTATGGTATAAAAGTACCACACCTTTTTAATCCATTCCTTGTTTGATGGGCATTTTGGTTGTTTTAAGATTTAGCTTTGACAAATTTTGCTGCTATAAACATGGGTGCACATATGTCGCTGTGGTATGATGTTTTTAGTTCTTCTGGAAAAATACCCAGGAGGGGAATACCTGCATTGAATAGGACTTCTAATCCTAGTATACTAGGAATCTCCATACTGATTTTCACAGTGGCTGCACCAGTTTACACTTCCACCAACATGGGAGAATGGTTTCTTTTTCCCCACAACTCCTCCAGCATTTTTTATTGGTTAATTTCTTGATGATAGCTGTTCTTTCTTGGGTGAGATGGATCTCAGAGTTGTTTTAATTTGCATTTCTCAAATGACTAATTTTGCATGCTTATATGTGTTAATTGGAATAACTAATTTGAGAAAACAATATGTAATATAACAACCATTGTTGAATTCCTATCATCTTGTTTAACAAAATTCTGTATCATTTCTAATGTATTTTTTTATTACTTATTATTGTTTTCAATGTTTGATCAATCTTGCATTCTTACATCTGCTAACTGCGCAACTTCATTGAAGATAACAATATATACTACAACAACCATTGTTAACTCCTATCATCCTCTTTTGAAATCCTGTATCATTTTTATTGTTTTTATTTTGTTTTGTTTTTGTCTTGAGTGTTGTTATTTTGTTATAGTTTTTTTCTCTTTAAAATTAAAAATACAAAAAATAAAATTAACCATCATAGCGTATGTTAAGGCAAGACAGGTAAGCAAAGATACAAAGCTTTACATAAATTTTATTTATCACTTTCAGCAGAATTTAATTATTTCTGCCTATTATGATATCTACAGTGAATATTCTACTATTTTTATAGGCTGTCTTTACTTGTAAAGGAGTGCTAAATATATAGCATTTCTTGGTAACATAATCGGGGGGAATGGTCATACACTTTCCTCAACATGCCTAAATGAAAGCTTCCTAGCTTTCAAAATAAGATTCTGGAGTTTTAAAATAAAATTTTACTTTATAAAAGAAAAAAAAAGAAAAGAAAATGAAAAAAGAAAGGCCAAGAAAAGACTTTCCTGGAAGAATGGGCTAGGGAGGTTTTGGTCGTCCATCCAAGGCCTATTTAGAATATCATCACTGCTGTTGTCCCTAGGGTAGGTATGTGGGTGTAGCCATTTCTCTTTGTCCTGAGGCCTGACCTTCAATGAATGCACCTCCAGCAACAGCTGTAATATGTTCTTACTTTCTGCACCGACTCTTGTGTGGGCCCAGCCCTGTCTGACTGCTTATAATATTTATAAATAACTTAGCTGTCTATAATACTCACTTCCTTTGAATTGTTGAATAAAACTCACAGAAAGTACCTGTTCTAAGCCTAATAGACCATTCTGAAATGTAGTCAATTATGCTGAATTTCTATGTCACCAAGCTGCAACTAAAGTTCTTCATCTGATCTGAGAAATCAGGGATAATAGTCAGATCCTCAAATACACCAGTTTTAGCTGACATAAGAAGGGAGTTCCATGTAAGGAGCTTCAGTCCTTACAAAAAATGTAACTGAGAGATGACCAATCCACTTTTTGTTCTCTATTTGTGTTTTTCTCAGCCCTTTTCTGTGTACCTAATCAAAGTCCTCTGGTTGACTCATCAGAACGCTCTATTCTATGGAATGTGTTGCTTCCCAGTTCTAGATTTCCAAATAAAAGCTAATTTTGTCTTTTGACAGCATACTCCACTCACTGTGTTTTACACTCTCTTCTTTTACTCTTCATCTAGCTGAGTCCAATTTACTCTCAGGTCCCCAGTAAAAATTCTCTCTCCTATACTGTTAATCATAGACCAGGTTGTATCACCTGGTTACAGGGTCCTACACACCCCCTGGACTTTTCCTGTCATAGCATTCATTGCTGGAACCCTTTTGTTAAATAAAATCTGTAGGAAGCCATCGGTTAGGACTGAACTCAAGCCCAATAATAATAGCTCCATCCTCCGCTAGAGTAGGAATTATATCTCTTATTTGTTGCTGAAATTCAAACAAAAGATCTAGCATATCCTAGCTCTTGAGAAACATTTGAAAAAATTGAAATGAAATGAATTTTTTAATTAATTTGACCATAGTAGTATGCACGAGTGTATTTTTTTTTTTTTTTGGTACCAGGAATTGAACGCAGGTCCTTGCACTTGCTAGGCAAGTGCTGTGCCACGGAGCTATATCCCTGGCCCCACATGTGTGTATTTTAAAAAAAATTTCATTAGTACATATTTGTTATACATAATGATCACATTCATCCTAGGGGATTTATACCTGAGTATAATATGTCTTATTTCTTTTTTTTTTTTTTTTACCATTCCCTTTCCCTCCCTTCAATCCTTCTTCTCCTCCCCATTTATATTTTCCCCTAATATTTTAAAAATTCCTTTCCCTTCCTTTCCTCTCCCTTGTTCCCTTTCCCATTTGAACACATTCTTCCTGTTTCCCAATATCTATGCTCTGTTTTGCACCTTATTTACCCTTTGAGTTTCTCACACAAGCGAAACAATGCAATATTTAAACTTGTGTGTCTGATTTATTTCAGTTAACATGATGGTCTTGAAATGCATCCATTCACCTTAAAATGCCTCAAGTTTATTCTTTTTGTGGCAGAGTAGTGCTCCACTGTATATAAATAGCACATTTTCTTTATCCATTCATCTTTTTATGAGGATTTTGGTTGTTTCCAAGATTTAGCTTTTACAAATTATGTTGCTGTAAACGTAGGTGTGCATATATCTCTGTGGTATGATGCTTTTAACTCTTTTGGGAAGAATCTTAGAAAGGCATAACTGCATCAAATGGAACCTCTAGCTTTAGCTTTTAGAGGAATTTTCATATTTATTTCCATATTGGTTGTAGCAATTTACACTTCTCAACAGTGGGAAGTGTTCCATTTTCCCCCACAGCCTCTCCAGCATTTGTTATGTGTCATTTTTTTCTGGAATGAGATGAAATCTCAGTGTCATTTTAATTTGAATTTCTCAAATGACCAATAATGTTGAACTTTTAAATATATTTATTTGCTATTTGTATTTCATCTGAGAAGCATCTCTTCATTTCAGGTGC